TTTTAATCTAAATTTTTCAAGTTAGGTTCAATTAATTAAAAATTTAAAAATATTAAATATTCTAGACAAAAAGATATTTAGAAATATAAATGAAAAGAAAAATAAATTGGTCAATTTTAAAAATCTTTATAAATATACAGCGATATAATAATGAATTAAATCAAAAAAATTGATTAGATTCAATAATGAGACGTTTGTAGAAAAGAAAATATAAGTTTCGAGATCCAATAACAAATTTACTTGGTGAACTTTTTCTTCTTTTATTTTCTTTGACAATCACCTTCTCCCCCCCCCCTCCTGACTCTATGTTCTATATCTATATCCTCGCGGTCTGGCTATATGGACCTTAATGAAGCTAATCGTTATAAAAAAAAAAGCCGCGCGTTTCCAATAACCATTTAATTCAGTCAATCAAAATTCCTATTAGCTCTTGTGAGTGCAATTTGGTAGGATATCGAGCCCATATTAGAGAACTTCCCTGAGATATTGACCCATTCAGAAATGGCTTAGAACATCCTTTCAATTTCAAGACAAATTCTCTTCATTACTTTTCACTTTGTTTGTTTTAATTTTTATTATTTTTATTATTTCCATTTTATTTTATAATATTATCCATTTTATAAACCAAAAAATTGAGCCCGGAGCCCAATGTTGGGCACTACAATGAAAAAAGTGGTTTTCTTAAATGAGACCACTAATTTTCAGTATCAAATTCGTAATCCCCATGAAATTCTGCGTTCAGACATATGGTATAAGTGCCCAAAATATTGGGCCCAATCCAAGATATTGGGTCTAAAATTTATCAACAGATAAATAAATTTTAAAAAATTACATCTTGGAGGGATTTTGAGATCACAGGATTAGAAATTGGAAGCTAATTTTCAAATTGGGCATAGAGCCCAATGTAAGATTCCGCTGCCCAATGTGAGGCCCACGGTAAAAAAAATTAGTTGTCTTAAATAAAACCCATTAATTTTCAGTATCCAATTTGTAATCCCCATGAATTTTTGGGTTTATAGACTTGAAGTAAAAATGACAAAAATATTGGTCCCAATGTCTGGGATTAGGCCCAACATTTTTCGTTAAATAAATAAATTTAAAAAATCGCATCTTTAGGAGTTTTTGGGGTCACCCGATTAGAAATTCGAAGCTAATTTTCAAATTGTACACAAAGCCCAATGTAAGATTCCGCGGCCCAATGTGAGGCCCACATTTAAAAACATTAGTTGTTTACATAAAACCCACTAATTTTCAGTATCCATTTCAGAATGGTTATGAAATTCTGGGTTTAAACTTGTAGTAAAAAAGCCAAAAAATATTGGGCCCTCACATTGGACTGCAGAATCTTACATTGGGCTCTATGCCCAATTTGAAAATTAGCTTCCAATTTCTAATCCTGTGATCTCAAAATCCCTCCAAAATGTGATTTTTTAAAATTTATTTATCTGCGTTGATAAATTATGGACCCAATATCTTGGATTGGGCCCAATATTTTGGGCACTTATACCATATGTCTGAACGCAGAATTTCATGGGGATTACGAATTTGATACTGAAAATTAGTGGTCTCATTTAAGAAAACCACTTTTTTCATTGTAAGGCCCAACATTGGGCTCCGGGCCCAATTTTTTGGTTTCAAAGATCTTTTTGTTTGGAACAACTTTTGTCTTGAACATTTTTTTTACAAAAATTTGTACTTTTCGAGATATTTACAAGTTTCCATACTTTTGGAACACCCTGTATATATAAATATTATATGGTAAAATTATCAAAAAAATATTAATTATACTAATCAAAATTATAGTAATATAAATAGAAAAAAAATAAAATTATATTTAAAGTGATTGCAGGAAGCGGTGATTTTGAATTGCGTGCGATTTTTCAGGTATGATCCTTTTTAGTTCGAATTGCGAATTGCTGCCAGTCCTAAGCCTAGACAGGGTTTCTACAAATTTCTCTTCGCGAAATTTCATAATTTTTTCATGATTTTCAGATAATAAATGATAAAATTGAAAAAATTCCATGAGATTTCTATAAATCCATGATCTAAATTGAATTTCAATGTTTTCCATGATTTGTAGAAACCCTGCTGGATAAGGTTAATGCAAAATAACCTTGCAAAACGCAAACTGAGAATCTATTTTGTAGAGTGCGATGGGAAATGTGTAACGTACAATGATATATGTAGGACAACGACCACTGCACGCAATTCGACTATATTAGGGTTACCCATGGCACGCAATTCAACCTATACCTGCCATCCCTTGGTACGCAATTCAACTAAACGCACGCAATTCGATATATATATTAGCCGCAGGAAGTGAGGTTAGGATTTTTCTTTTTTTATACGCAAACAATATTCTTTATTTTCTGAATAGGCATAAATTTTGTGAAGCTTTTAAGAGAGAGAGAGACAAGTTCATCTCTATATAGCCTTCTATTTAATTTCAATTCATTTCGAATCAATTTAACAATGGCGAAATTCATTAGATCGATTGTTCAGAGAGAGAGAGAGGACCTCGCGGGTCACTCGAATCCATCACCGAGCAAAGTCTTGATTGGTCTGATCTTCGACTCATTTTAATGTAATTAACGTTTTGATTGCATGCTTTGTTTCCCCCTCCCTCCCTCTCACTCCCCATTCATCCTTCTCTGATGAGTTCTTCTCATTCTCTCTCTCTCTCACCCTCATCAAATCCAAGGGGTTTGTATAGAGAGAGAGAGAGAGTGAGAGAGAAAGAGAGACATTGATCTATCTCAGTGGATGTATTTCATCAAGTTTACCAGTGTTTCAGAATGGATACAGATTTATATTTACTTCTCAGCTTATATCCATCCTCTCTCTCTCTCTCTCTCTCTCTCTCTCTCTCTCTCTCTCTCTCTCTCTCTCTCTCTCTCTCTCTCTCTCTCTCTCTCTCTCTCTCTCACACATTTCTCTATTTACAATTTATTCCATTATTATTCTTTGTGATTGTGTTCTGACAGCAAAACCTTTTTTTTCCTCTCGATTTACGTCCTACTCATCATCTTATAAAATTTAGCCATTTTGACCCAGTGTGCAGAATTTTGGAACCATTTTGTATTTTCAATTTTACACGCACGTGAATTACAGGAATAGCGAATACAAAATTTTTTTTTTTTTGCAAAATACAAATTTTCCTTATTTTTATAATTGTGTCTGATTTTTGGACTTTTTTTTCTCATAGCCTTCCAATTTTGTTTAATTTGTCTCTATAGAATTGTACATGTATCCCCCGTATTCAGAGGATAATTGAGAGTACCAAGCTTTGTCTATACATACATATAGGAAAGAAGCAGCACAGCTAATTTAAATGGATTAATTAAGTTAAATTGGACCTTTTTACCATGGTGTTTTCTGTAAAATCGGGTAATTATTGTAGTGAGATAGGTAGACTAAAGTATACATAGTGCTAGACGACCCCCAAGGGAGAATTACGCACACATTTGTGTGCAAATGTATTAGAATGTGTGTGCAAGAGAGAGAGAGAGAGAGAGACATAGAGTTTGGACCCGTAAGTGCAGTCTGGACTTACTGGGTGGTCGAGAGTCGAGAGTGCTGTTAAAGCAAATACAAGTGGTTTACGAGCCTCTAAGGTTTACACTGTAAGTCTCATTATTTCCTATAAGCACCTGTGTTCGTTAATAATTTTCCATAAAGCTCCCCCAAAGTTACAATTTGTTTGCCTCACAAGACAAACAAAACATAAAAATTGTGAGCGGAAACTTCTCAAATATATACTATAAATCTAATTTTCCAAAAGGAATCAACATCCAAAGTGATAACTTCAAGGTTATAAAGTAACATTTAAGATTGTAGATCAAAATTGTAGAATAATTTGGAACGTCCCAGAACTTGATGGTTGTAGAATAAACAACAAAGTTGCATTAACTTTGAATTTATCTCAAAAAATAAATTTCCAAAATTAGGTAAATAATTTAAAATTTGGACCTTGATTCCAATTTACAAATAGAGAGAGTGAGTGAACACTAATTTCTCGTTCGCAAAATATTCCCCCTTTGGCCCCTGGGCGGCAATTTTGGTGGCTACACGGCAATTTACCGCCAAATCCCAGAAACAATTCACTTTACTACGGGTAACACGCGACAAATATCCCGAGAGCGCTCAAGGAAAATTGCAAGAGAGGTGGGGTGTGGGATATATGTATGTGGGGTAGCTTCCAAGGGTGGTAGGGTATAGGTAGGTCGCTTTGATGAGATTGCAAAGCGACTAAGTTTTAATTTGTCCTCGCGTGACAAGGATTACGTCTACGGGGGCCTTATTGACTTTACCTTCCGCTTCTCTCCTCCCATCCCTTAACCCCATTTCCTCTCTCTTCATCCCTTATTGTTTCCAACCCTCAACGTTCGACCGAGTTTCGTTGGCGGAAGACCTTTTTTATATTGCGAGAGCAGGACAACGATAAAAAAAGCAGAATTCACTGTCGGAGCTTTCTTTTACCGTTGGAGGAAAAAAAAAATAAATAAGAAAAAGAAGTATAAATTTACGTTCGTCCATCACGCGATTCACTTTTCTTATAGGCCGTTGAGCCAACGACCAATTGGATAAATAGAATTGCCCTTTTATAATTTCAACTTTGGTGTATATAAATGTCGTCAAGTTGAATTCGATTAAATGCGCTAGTTGAATCATTCCCTCTTTTTTTTTTTTTTTTTCTTTTCCCTCTTTTATTATATGCCAAGTTTATAAAATGACTTCTCTGCGGCTAATAGAGTTGCATTCAATTTCATCGCAATAATAATAATGAATCTTTTTTTTTTTTTTAATTGAATCTTTAATGAAAAAAAAATTTGTAATTTAATTTCCAAATTAAATTTGCCGCCAATTTTATTTAATTTAAAATAAAAATTTTCCTTCAATTTTATTTTATTTTATTTTTTATATCAAAATTTGCTTTTAATTTTATTTTATTTAAAATTAAATTCAACGAAAATTTAATTTATCATACATTTTATTTTGAGGCAGAAGAAGGCGTTACTGTTACGCTGCGCGGAAAAAGTGGGGGATGCGCGAGTCATCTAGCGCTCTTTGCGCGCGAAAATATAAATAAGGACTTCTTCTACTTCCTGTACATTACGATTGACTATTATATTATTATAACTATTATTATCATTATTATATATTTATTATTGTAAATAATAATAATTTCATGTTATTATTACTGTAAATAATTTAAATAAACAATTTTTTCATTTTTGGAGTGCTATAGTGACGTGTTTTGAAATATATACTAATTAAACATGACAGTGTTTATTAACCGCAGAAGTTAGAGAGTATACATTTATTCTCTTGCATTTATAACGGATTAAATTCTCCACACGAAATGTTATTCGCCGAAGGCGTTGGTCCATCATGTATATATATATTGCGCACCGTAAATGGCAAATGATAACCTCGACAGGATCTTAATACATCGATTAATTAACAGACAACTAATCGATCAAATTTGATTCGCTTAATTATAACGGACCTCAATGTTCGTTTGAAGAATGAAAAAGGTGAAAAAATTAATCGACAGTCGATAATAAATGCGTAGCTGTCAAAATGACGTTCGAGCAAATATTTATAATAAATTAAATCAATACTTTTTTATTTACAGTATTGATCGTGTTTCTTTTTGATATGAAATTATTTATTTTATTAACTGCAAAATATAATATTATAATCAGTTTAGAAAAGTAAAATAAAAACTCTTCTCTTTGGTTTTGGCCTATATACGACTTTTATTAAAATTTAAAAAATTATTTGTTTAACGTTTCGACACAAATATTGTGTCCTCATTGGAAACTACAATTAAACGTATAATATGTTATTATTTATGAAGCCAAAAAAATATATAAAACATAAATATCAATTAAAAAAGGATATATATAATTAAAACTCTCATACCAAATCAAAATGGAGATACGTGCGTAGCCCAAATAAAATTTTTCATATATTTTCGTATCTCCATTTTGATTTTGATATGAGAGTTTTAATTATATATATATATATCCTTTTTTAATTGATATGTATGTTTTATATATTTTTTTGGCTTCATAAATAATAACATTATACGTTTAATTGTAGTTTCCAATGAGGACACAATATTTGTGTCGAAACGTTAAACAAATAATTTTTTAAATTTTAATAAAAGTCGTATAGGCCAAAACAAATGAGAAGAGTTTTTATTTTACTTTTCTAAACTGATTATATCAACGACTTAAAGTAAATAGAGTGAAAACCCTTTGAAATTAATAATATTATAATATTGTTATATATTTCATCCGAGTATTTTCTCACTCTTTTGTGTTCAAACAAGATTAAAAAGAGAGAAAAAAAAATTCCTCCCAGTGAGCATGAGACTCCAGAAAACGGATTAAACTTAATTCTTAAGTCTTCAAGGGAAAACGGCAATATTAACAATTTAATAATGGCACACGAGAGCAGGAAGTGCTTAAATATTAAAAACTCGTTTTTTATCGTGAAAATTGAATGAGAACCTCTGCCTTAACAAGAACAGTATAATTACTTATAGGCAATAACTAAATTGAAGATAGAAAACGAGAGAGAAAGAGAGAGAGAGGGGGGGAGGGTTAATATAAATGAGAGTGAAAGAGAGAAAGAGAGTGGATGGTGGGAAAAAGAAATAAGAGGCTTTCAGAGAGAAAGAGAGGGGACGAAGTAAACGTATATATATAGGAATATCGTGGAAGCACGAGGAAGCGATTCTCTGTTGAAAACTAATCAAGATATATTAATTGCAGTATACTTCACTTACGTATATTGCTTTCTGGAGGTCCTGGTGTGCCAGGAGTATTATTGCAAATCACTTTACGAGATTGTGCAGTCTCGAAGGGGCACCTAACTTCTTTCCGTAAACTCCCTGAAGTTTTTATTCCTGTGTGTCATTATAGCTCGACGTTTAATTAACGCTTCTATTTTTTTCCCTTTCAAAAAAAAAGAGAAGAAGAAAAAAAATTACTCGGGACTAGACAACTGTAATTAAATTTATGTTCTGTTGTTTATTTTTTTCCTATATTTATTTTTCAAGTATATTTCATTTCATTAAGTCGTCATTTTTTAGAAAGGAAGAATTTTTTTTGTTTGTTGAAACATGATTCTAAAATGGAAAAAGGATCCATTTGAATAAATAATAAAAGATTTTTTTCTTTGGAAAGGAAGCGAATTAGATCTTTTTATTCCTTGCGCGGTAACAAATAGGAGATTATTTTTTATATCTAAGTGGTGGGGGAAGCGCGAATCAGAAACCCCTTGGAGTGAAAGTAGGCGTTAATAGTACGCTGCGCGGAACAAGTACGCTTCGCGAACTTCCCCCCCCCACTCCTTCAACGCTAACCAATAGCAACGATTATTCTATTCTTCTGTAAATTTTCACTGTTAGTAATATTTAAAAACCAATTTGGAAAGAAAAAAAAACACTTCTCTTAAATTTGTCATCTTTCTCGAATTTGAAACCGAATTAAAGATTCGCGCGTAAAATTTTTCTCTCGTCGAAAATTCGCGAGAACAGAAGTAACTTTGTTCTTATTTTAAAACTAAATTCTCTCTCTCTTTCTTGTGACCTTTGACCCACTTTCGTATAGAGGTGTTTGTTCGAAGCTATATCGATTTGGGAATTGGCTTAAAGGAACAAAGCCATTTATTTCAAGAGATTTCCTCACCTAAATTGTTCCCTTCTTCCCCGTCCATCAGAAAAAAATCGTTTATTTTCCTCATATATTATCTCAAAAAGATTAACAGCAATAGTTATATAACAATTTTTTGTTTCTTAAGGGGATGACTAAAGATAAAAACTCTCCTCGCAACTTTTACTTTCTTTCATGATTACATTAAGCGATCTCTCTTTCTTAAAGTTAGCAGAAGGTTTGTGGTGTGAACTTGAATAAGAGAGAGAGAGAGGGGGGGGGAGAAGAAGGGTACATGAAAAACGTCATGAAGCTTTGGAATCGGACGTAGCCACTAACCGAGGACGCGGATACAAGAAAAGTGGAAACTGGGAGAGAAAGAGAGAGAAGAAAAGAAAAAGGGATAGCGATTCGCTGAAAAAGGAAGATAGAGAGAAAGAGAGAGATTTCTGAGTAGAGAAAACGAGGGCGACATCGCCCGCTGCAAATTGCAATTTTGTTGTGAGATCATTATAAAATACATAATGCTCTCCCGGGGCACTCCCCTTTGCTCTCCTCACGACCACCACTAACATCTCTCTCTCTCTCTCTCTCTCTCTCTCTCTTGGTACTTCTGCACCACCTTTCGTGGTTCTCTCTACGTTCATCTACGACTGTATATGTACGTGTATCCAGCGTCTCGTTAAAAGTTTTTAGCGACGCGTATTCTTAATAGTCAACTCGCGGACACGTCGTCATTAAAATTATACTCTCTCTCTTTCTCCTCTTTTCATACAGACAACTTACTCGCTAGCTCGTTTTCTCTTCGTTTATCATCGTCGCGACATAGAAAATCTAATTTAACGGTTTTAAACGTCGTCTAGCGTTTGTCATTGTGATATTCAAGTGACACTTTTTGAAGTACGCTATCCCCACTTCCAAACACTATTTTAAGTGCTCTGCGATTGGCTTTCTAGAGTTAAAGATTTTTTTAAAAAAGTCAACTATATATTGGATTTTCAAACTAATTACGAATGTGATGTTAATTTTTCAAAATTCAAAATCGCGGAATTCTAAGAAAGTCAATTTATCACTGAGTTAATAAGACTTAATCTTTCACTTCATTGGCGGAGATTTTATTCTCTTATTTTTCTTTCTCATCCTTTTCTATATATAATACTTGTTTCTATAAATATATAAACTTTTTGAAAATTTCTCGACTAAACTGGTAAATTTGCAAGCGCACTGTCCGAAGTAGAAGTCTGTAAGCTTGGCAAAGAAATAGTAGCGAGAGAAAATAAATGGCAGGTACTCTTTTCGAACTGGGATAAAAGGGAGCAGGTTTAACTAAAACTTAGCAAAAGTTGTGGGTTCTGTAAATATGTAAATAAGAAAGGTAGAAGAGAGAGGACCATTGGATGTTATTATATAATATATACAAGTATATAAGAGGTTCTTGTCAAGAGAATAAGAGAGAATAAGAGAGAAAATGAGAGAGCCTGGAGACCATGGCAATCGTTCGGTATTTAAGTAGCAAGTTTAAAAGGTACACCGGGTATATTTAAACGCTCTCTTATTATCATATAAATACAAGTTGGACGTTCAATTTACGCACCGAAGAGCCCTGTGTACACCCCACTATTCGACCCCGGCAGAGAGTTACAAAAGTTATTATTGTTATTACGGTACCGTTTAGAAACTTTTGTTGCCGATGTATATATATATACTATGGCTCTGCACTGCTCGCGCGCGCAATGGATACGCGAGAACCTATCTCTCTCTAATATATATATATATATACCTAACCTGCGAGCTTATACGAGTTGCCCGCAGCACTCCCCCGAAACGATATATTACTTTCATACTCAGATATTTTTACAAACTCGCTTAATCCACTACCCCCCACCTCACCTCAATTCCCTTAAACTTCAAAATGTCGTTTATTTTACTTTTTTAAAAAAAACCATATTAATAATAATATATAATCCATTTCCTTTGGTTAATAAAAATATTTTCCTTAAATAATTAATTTAATGTGTAATATTTAAATTAATAATTAAACTTTTAATTATTTTTGTTAAATAAGTTTAGAAACAGTGAACAATTAAAATGGAAATGGAGAACCTATAAGTGGAGGGGGGATTAATACGTTTATAACGGTGGAACAAGAGAGGGGGAGAATTGAATACTTATAAACGTTGGCTTTATATGTATATGTATTTTAATAAAGATAACCTGTTTTTCTCTTCAAAATACAATTCTCTCGTTCTATTTAAAAATTCCCGCCTCCTCTCTCACCCGTTTCAATTAGTAAATAATTAATTTCGTTTAATTTCATTTGCATGTGCAATATGCACTCAGAAAGATACTGCCTTATCACTAACTCGGCATGCATCCGCTCATTAGAGGAATTCTGATGATCATTCAGCATCCCTTTTTCTAGTATAGAGCTCTCTCTCTCTCTCTCTCTCTCTCTCTCTCTCTCTCTCTCTCTCTCTCTCTCTCTCTTTTTGTCTCTCCCTTTCTTTCTCTAAAAAACGTACAAAGGATAAAAGGATTGTGGAGGAAGAAGATAGAAATAGAGATAGTAAAGAAGGATAAATAGTGAAAGGAGATAGAAGAAAGAGAGAAAAAGAGGATAGGAGAGAGAGAAAGATAAAGAATAAGGATAGAACAGAGAAAGATAGATAAGGAAGCATAAAAGAGAGAGAGAGAGAGAGAGAGAG